TTGGATTCGCCCCGCCCCCCCCCCCCCCCCCCCCCCTATCACTATGTCTTGAGCAAAAGTAAACTTGAATAAGCGATGTCAACCTATTATCACAATTCAAAAAGATATGAATTTGAGTCTATGAGGTTTAAGTTCTTATCCCAAATTGATGTTTATTTTGTTGGGGGTTCTAAGGTGTGAATGGGAATAGAGAAAAATTTCACAAGTTACACGCTTTATATTTTGGTTAAGCACGCACGCCACGTAGTTAATGTGGTGCGTAAAAGTCACACCTTTGGAAAGGTTTGGTATGTAAAGAGATTCCCATGGCTGGGGAGTGTGTAGAAGTGATTTGGCTAAGAGTTCACAGATTAACTAGGTATTAGGCCTATTTTCTACAGTAAACTGTTTTTCCCGTAAACATTTTGCAGAGATGGTTGGTGTGTCATTGAGTCAATACCCGTAGGAAAAGGACAATCCATTAAATTCACATCAGAAATTGTCAACATGATACAAAATCCTGCCCTTATATTCTCAGAGCTAAACATATCAGCCCAAGTAATTTTTCAGTATTGCAGGTATCAAATGCACAAGAAGTACTCAGAAACATAGTAAGCTGTAGACGTAGAAGCAAAATGGCCACTTAACAAATCATTTGAGACATGGGTCCAGCAATTAATTGACACCCAATTGAAAAGTAAACGGATGAGAACATAAAAAAGATAAGTATCCAAGAACCTTATTTGACTAAAGGAAAAGAAAGGTCATCCTTGAGGTTCTCAGCTCTTACACTTCAAATGATAAGACTGTACCTTTTGGAAGTAAAGAAGTTAGAATGAGCATATCTATGCTTTTTCATCTTTTACTCTATTGTTTTTATGTAGTTTTTTCCAGTGCCAATACTTCAGACACCATTAGCAGTAGTGAGCCTGTGAGAGACTCAGAAACTGTATTTTCTAGAGGCAAAAGATTTAAACTGGGTTTTTTTAGCCCCAGGAATTCTGCAAAACGTTATGTAGGGATTATGTTTAACCTACCATCACCAACACCAACTGTAGTATGGGTAGCTAACAGAGATGAGCCTTTACACGATTCTAGTGGAATACTCACAATATCAGAAGATAGCAATCTTGTCATGTTGAATGGACAGAAGGAGATAATTTGGTCATCCAGTATTTCAAACTCTATGAAGAATTCCACAGCACAACTCTTGGACACTGGAAACTTAGTCTTGAAAGACAGCTCAAATGGGAGAGTTCTATGGGAAAGCTTTCAATATCCTACGGATTCTCTCTTACAGCTCATGAAAATGGGCACTGATAAGCGTACTAACACAACAACTCTCCTGAACTCATGGGGGAGTCCTGATGATCCATCCGTTGGGAGCTTTTCAGCTGGAATTCAACATCGATACATTCCTCAGTTTCTTATTTGGAAAAACAGTTCTCCTTACTGGCGGGGCGGTCCATGGAATAAACAGATATACATAGGATTACCAGAAATGAATTCTTTCTATCTCTATGGTATTGACCTAGTAATTGATAATGCTGGCACAGCATACCAAACTTATTCAGACCCAAATCAGTCTAGGATACTCTATTATTCCTTGAATTCAACAGGGTCTTACCAGGAGAAGGTTTGGGATCAAAGTAAGAAGGATTGGGTGGTAACATGGGCAAATCCCCGAACAGAGTGTGATTTTTATGCCAAGTGTGGGACATATGGAAGCTGTAATCCAATGAATTCTCCAATATGCAGTTGTATACAAGGTTTCAAACCAAAAAATGATGGAGAATGGAAGAAGGGAGATTGGTCTGGTGGATGCATCAGAAGTACTGCACTAGACTGTGAAAGGAACAAAACTGATATTGAGAAGGACAAGCAGGACGGGTTTCTGAAGCTGCAGACAATGGGAGTGCCAGATTTTGTAATTTCGGTACCTTCTGCAAAAAAAGACTGTGAGAGTGACTGTTTGAGTAACTGTTCCTGCACTGCATATTCATACTACAGAGGCATAGGTTGTATGCATTGGAATAGAAGCTTAGTTGATATTCAAGAATACTCCAGGGATGGGGCGGCTAGTTTGTTCATTCGCCTTGCCTACTCTGAACTTGGTAACATACTTCTTTACAACCTTGAGCTTTCAATTGTTTAGCTTGTTTTTTTTTTTTTGGAACTACAAGGAGTTGAAATTTAAAGTCTTCTTGTCTTTGAAGAATATAACCAAGACTCCCAATAAAATCTATAAAACCATCGAATTAGGCTCAAATTCTCAATTAATGTATTGCTTAGCTCTTTTCTATTTTTGGTGTAAACAAAGATATATTAACTAGGACAGAAGACATCTTTAATGTGCTAGATTGTTTATAGGCAGCAGTTTAGATTAAGACTGTTTTATTCTGTAAGTTGTACTCCCTCTGTCCCAATTTATGTGACTTACTTTCCTTTTTGGTCAGTCCCAAAAAGAATGACACATTTCTATATTAAGTAATAATTTAACTATAAAATGTTTATTTTACCCTTAATGAAATGATTTACAGCCACACAAATTTCTATCATTCATTTTGGACCACAAGTTTTAAAAGTCTTCCTTTCTTTCTTAAACTTCGTGCCGAGTCAAAGTACCTCACATAAATTGGGACGGAGGGAGTAATACTTTTGAAGGGGAACTGCACATTTTTTGTAGTGCACCTGTGTATATATAGACTAAAGTTACCAGTTTCAAAAAAAATAAAAATCAATTAGTTCTATCACTTCCATGGAAAGAAAGATATGCTCAAGAACAGTCTATGGCTCATACATGTTTGCAGCTGCAAATGACAAGAAAGACATTCCTGTAGCAGCTATTGCAACCACAGTCTCAATAGGCTCAATAACAGTTATCTTGTGTGGATATCTTTTCTGGAAATTGTTGGCTAAGCACAGAGGTAATTAATCAAATAAGATTTTTGAGAAGACAAACTAGAACTTCTCTGTCTGCAAATGGTTTGATTTCTGAATGTCCACTCTGAACCAGAAAGGAAGAGGAAAAATGAAGCACTCTTAAGAGAAGCATCTCCAAAATTTTACCAAGAAGGCATGAGTAAAGATGACATCAATCAAGTCAAAATTGAAGACATCACCTTGTACAGATTTGACATGTTAGCGAATGCCACTGACAGTTTTCACCCAGCTAGCAAGCTGGGGCAAGGAGGCTTTGGTCCAGTCTACAAAGTAATGTTTCTTGATGCATCTCTGCAGTGTTCTGACAAATGAACACAATATAAAATAAATTAGATCAATTATCTGCAGGGACAATTGCCAGATGGACAAGAAATTGCAGTAAAAAGGCTTTCACAGTCTTCTGGTCAGGGGCTACAGGAGTTTATGAATGAGGTCGTTGTGATTTCTAGACTACAACATCGTAATCTTGTTAGACTCCTTGGCTGTTGCACAGAGAGAGGGGAAAAGATGCTGATTTATGATTTCATGCCAAATAGAAGCTTAGATGCATATCTTTTTGGTCAGTGCAGAATTTTCTTTCATTGGTTTTGCCTGTCCTTCAACTTAAGTACTTCCAGAATCAAAAGAAAGCTGTATTTCTTTAAGGAAACAAAATCCATCATACATTTCTCGGTGATACCTTTTCAGGTTCACACCAGGAAAAGTTCCTTGATTGGAGTAAACGAGCCATCATTATTGAAGGAACTGGTCGAGGCCTCCTTTACCTTCACAGAGACTCAAGACTACGAATTATTCATAGAGATCTGAAGGCAAGCAACATCCTGTTGGATGAATACCTAAACCCAAAAATTTCGGATTTTGGCATGGCGAGGATTTTTGGAGGCAATCAAGATCAGGCCAGCACTATAAGAGTTGTTGGCACATAGTATGTTTGCACTGCTTCCTCCATTTTTTCATGGATGAACTGCCATCATTAGTCATTGAGTTTCTGTGTAATATCTTATGCAGTGGTTACATGGCCCCTGAATATGCAATGTACGGAAGATTCTCAGAAAAATCAGATGTCTACAGCTTCGGTGTGTTGATCTTGGAAATTGTCAGTGGAAGGAAGAACTCTAGTTTTTATGATGATGAAGATGAACTGACTCTACTTGCATATGTAAGTTCATTCTTGCAACTATATATAAAGCTTTAATGTTCTGCTAGCTCATCAAACCAAAAAAATAGAGGAGAAAAATTATGAAACTTCTGAAAATAACATTTTTGCTGTTTGACAATGTCTTTGTTCATTAGGCATGGAAGTTGTGGAATGAAAACAATATCATAAAATTGATAGACCCCAAAATATTTGATTCAAGCTTTGAAAAACAGATGGTGAGATGTGGACATATTGGATTATTATGTGTTCAAGAATATGCAGAAGATAGGCCAAATGTCTCCACAGTTCTGTCAATGCTCACTAGTGATATTGCTGAACTACCTACTCCTAAACAACCTGCATTTACCGGAGGACATGCTTCACCACAGCAAGTATCTTCTAAAAGCCAAGGGTCCGTGAATGCTGATACCATTACTATATTGGAACCACGATAGGATACAGAGTTTTCAACAGGCAGGCAAAGATCATTACTTTCCTTAAAATGGTAACAGTAGCATAGTATTTCTTGAATGTGCATAGGGTAAAACACGCTCCTTTGCAATAACTTGCAAAACACACAAAAGAGGTAAAAGTGCACTAGCTATGTGATGAATTAATTACAGAGTGAGCATGGAGAACATGAAACAGTTGATCAATTTTTAACTTTGCATTATGAAAATCCTTAGAAAGAAAGTAGACAAAAGGAAAAAAAGAATCGCAAATCCCCAATTAACAAGTTCAAATAATGGCAATCAAAGACTTGAAAAATCATACCTACTGTACTGATACACGAAACGGCGTCGGCGAAAAATAGCCACTCGTTTTACCACTGTTTTTCTTAGAAAATTACAGAGAAGTGAATTGGTGAATTAATCAATGTTGAGGAAAAGTTAACTCTGCACTATTTTAGGTCATTCACACAAGTTATTTGGGTGTTGGTTAAAGACTATAATTGTTTCATTTTTGTTTTAATTTTGCATAAACTAATGTGAAACTTACCTAAATCTCACTAGTTTAGGAGTTAATTACTTATATATATTTTAGTTTGTAATATTACGTGTGTTACCCCCAATTTTGGTGCACTAAGAAACATCCAGATACATGTATTTCTGAATACATGGGCCAAAACTAGGTGTAAGTTGTTCTAGATACATTGTATCCAAGTAGATTCACATGTATTTCGTATACATAAAAAAATTGGTTCGCCTCCTTCGCCTCTCTCCCATATCGCTCACCACTCTCCAATGTATTAGGGATATATAATAAATCTCGCTCACCTCTCTCCCTATTTTAGTCTATCCAGAAGCAAAAATACATGTATCCAATTATATATTTCTCAATATATAATAGTAAACTCTTTGGTAATATAGTAATATTCTGAAAATATGGATAATGATGATATATATGGTAGTGATCAATATGTCTAATTATATAGTTTCATATATAAAAATTTCATAATTTATACGTATATTAATTATGTGAAATTAAAAATTAATAATCAAATACCGTACTTAATATGCTAATTTTACCCCAAAAAACAAAAATACTACCAACATGATTTATTAGTTATAATATTTAGTACATTTACTATATTGTTCTCGCATGTGGGGCTTGGAAACTCTCAAAATAGAAGATTGAGACAACATGACATTTTATTTTTATAATCTCATTATGATTTATTCAAAACGAAAAATCACCACTCATCTATAATATGGCCGAACGAATCAATAGTGCCAGATAAAATGCTTAATTCAAATAATAATTTCATACAAATGCTTTGAGTATAAATGTTCCTAGATAACTGTATACTAATTAAATAGTAAAAGAGAAAAAATCACTCAAAAGACATAAGTTCTTTGGAACCATCTGGATGCACAAGAATCGCCACAAGACGGGTCGTGGAAACTTGAGATTCAATGACACTGATATTCAGTTGATAAACGGTACCATCGAGAATTACTTCAGTTCCTCCTGCATTCACTTTTACAAGTTCAAAGTTGGTTTGAGCCTGCTTGTTGCGCTCATCTACGGCAAATTTTGCGATCCCCACAACGTTAGGATCATTTGGGTCTACGGGTGTCTCATCGAGGACTCTCATTGCTGAAGATTGAGAGACTTGTAAGGAGGACAAAGTTGGCCATTTTTTGTTTTACAAATTGTTAAAGGAATGATTAACACCAAGTGTTGTAGGGTCTTATTTATAGGAGAGGGAACATTATTAAGAAATAGACTATTTTCTATATAAGAAATGAGAATCCATGGAATGGAGGCAAAAAAAAGGAATGCTTTAATTAATATACTACATATGTCAATTGAAAATAGAGAAAAATAATTACTCCATATATTTTATCAAGAAACTCTATTTATGGGATTTTAATAAATATGTTACTATTTCATGTATATTTGACTAGATTATCCTCTATCCAAAATTACTAACTTTAAAATCATTTAATTACTCCTATATATTAAGAAAAAAACATAGTGTTCATACTATATGGTACATTTCCCTACTACATGTATATTTACATAAGAATGACCTTTTGTTGGGTAATATCCCGCTACACTTTATTTATTAGGGAGAAAATTAATTATTTTACCTTTTATAGTCCCTTATATATTTCATTATACTTGCAAAAGGTCAATTATTTTACATTTTGTATCTATTTTACTTCATTGGTTGCAGTAGAAAATTAAAATACTAGTACAGAATTTTTGATAGCTTACTAGAATTTTCTCCGACCCTTAAATTTATTAAATTTAATTCTAATTAATAAATTTAAACGGAGTTAGATTGGGCCGGACAAATCAGTCATACGGCCCAAGGTAAAAGTCCCACTACCGATTTGGGCCAAAATAGGCAAAACAATGAGTTATAAGGGTCAAAAATATGAACAGAAATGAAGAAAGATAACAAAACTGAAATACTACAACATTCATGTAAAACAAAATTTAAAATGTACTCCTTTGCCACAAAATATTTATCATGTTTCGCTTCTCTAGAGTTAAACTGTATAAATTTTAATTAATATTTTAACATGTAATTTTTATCATATTGATATGAGAAGAATTGCGGCTTACAATAGTTTTTTGCATAATTTTCAAATATCTAAATTTTAGTTTTAAAATATTAAGCTAATCTAACTTGATTTAGTTTTGAGTATTTTTTTTTTGGAATCCAGGATAACCTGCAGCCGTTTTAACCTCTGTCACAACTTTTGTCCTTCGGGTGAGCACTCTGTGGTGAACACTTTGTGCGCACTGGGTAAACCCCCACTGTGTAATAGCCTACAAACCACAAGGTAAGCTAATCTAACTTAATTTAGTTTTGAGTATTAGTCGTCACAAATATTGGAGTTTATATATTGGACTGCACTCACTATGGGTTAACCCAGTTAGGGTAAATTCTAAATCGGCATATTCTACCTGAAAGTAGTAGTACGAGATAAACCAAGAGTACACGTCGAACTCAGGGCGGACGACCCAGCATTGCCGGGGTAACAAGGGTATCTAACTTGATCAGTGTATGAAGTCCACCGTGTGCGGTTGCCAGAGATTTGGTTTTGTCCGGAGAGAGGACATTTGCTCTTGTAATTCAATTCGAATTTTCATGGTCAAATTAATATTCAAATAAAGTAAAAAATTTCAGAAAGAAGTTTAATTCATAATTTCTTGGGTGGTGTAATTTCTTTTTATTTCGCGCAAAGTGCGGATATGTTCCCTAGTTAAATAGTAACAGAGAAAAAATCACTCAAAAGACATAAGTTCTTTGGAACCATCTGGATGCACAAGAACAGCCACAAAACGAGTTGTGAAATAAACTTCAGATTCAACGACACTAATATTTAGTTGATAAACGGTACCATCAGGAATTGTTTCAGTTCCTCCTGCATTCACTTTTTCAAGTTCAAATTTGGTTCGAACCTGTTTGTTGCGCTCGTCTACAGCAAATTTTGCAATTTTCACAACTGTAGGATCATTTGGGTCTATGGGTGTCTCATCGAGGACTCTCATTGCTGAGGAACAAGTAAAACCAATAACTAAGATTGAGAGACTAGTAAGGAGGACAAACTTGGCCATTTTTTCTTTTACAAATTGTTAGAGGAGAGATTAACACCAAGTGTTGTAGGGTCTTATTTATAGGAGAGGGAACATTATTAAGAAATAGGCTCTTTTGTATAAATGAGAATCCATGGAATGGAGGCAAAAAAGGAATGCTTTAATTAATATACTGCATATGTCAATTGAAAATAGAGAAAACAAATTTACTCCATATATATATTTTATTAAGAAGTTCTATTTTATGGGATTTTAATAAATATGTTACCATTTCATGTGTGTTTGACCAGATTATCCTCCATCCAAAATAACTAACTTTAAAATCATTTTTTCATTACATTTTATATCTACTTCATTGATTGCAGTAGAAAATTAAAATACTAGTAGGAGTAAGTTTTTTGAGAGCTTAATAGAATTTTCTCCGACAATTAAATTTAATTATGGTTAATAAATTTAAAAGGAGTTAGATTGGGCCGGGCAGATGAGTTATATGTTCAACCTCATAATGGCTTCGAGCAATCTCGTTTTTACTTAAAATTAAAGAAATGTAAACATTCTTTAGTTGTGTGGTTACGATGAGGTAATGGTAATTCTAGGAAACAAATGAAGAGATTTAAGTCATGCTTATAAAAATGAAGAGATCTTATGGAAATAAAAATCTAGAGCTTTATGGTTAAAAGAAGGTGATAAAAATACCTCATTTTTTCATATGACTACTATCCAGAGGCGAATAAGAAATGCTATTAAAGGTTTTCAATTAGACAACGAAGAATGAGTTTCGGATCCGGTAGGCATTATAAGGACAATAGAGCGTTATTTATGACAACTTATTTAGATCATCTAGGCCGACAGAGCTTGAAGAGATTATTTCTTACGTACCTGTTTCACTTAATGAGTCTATGAATATGAGACTTGTTAGAGAAGTGTCAGATGCTGAAATTAAAAGTGTTGTCTTTTCGATGCATCCCTTGAAATCACTTGGAATTGACGGCATGACCCCTTTGTTTTTTTAAAAATATTGACAGATAATTGGTAAAGACATTTGTGAGGCCGTAAGAAGTTTTTTCTCTACGAGAATCCTAATATCAAAATGGAGTCAAACTTTAATTACATTGATCCCTAAAGTTAAAATTCCTACATCTGTTGCTCAATTTAGACCTGTAAGTTTATGCTCTACTGCATACAAATAACTGCTAAAGTTTTAGTGGCTAGAATGAAGGAAGTCTTATCCATGTAATTTCTCCAAATTAGTCGGGCTTCATAGGTAATAGCCACATTACTGATAATGTTGAGTTAGCTCATGAATTTCTCCATTTGCTCAAAAACAAAAAAAGAGGAAAAGAGAAATTTATGGCCATGAAACTTGATATGTCTCAAGCCTACGATAGAGTAGAATGAATTTTTGTTAAGGAGATGCTCTTAAAAATGGGTTTCAATAAAAATTTTGTGGCTTGAATTATGAAATGTGTCACTTCTACAACACATCGATTCAATATAAATGGAGAAATTGCGGGAGGGATTAAACCAACAAGGGGTCTAAGACAAAGTGATCCATTATCACCTTGCTTGTTCTTGATTTGTGCTGAAGG